ATTATTATTTCATACAATTATAATTCAAAATTAAGTTTACATTACTACATTATATTATAAATATATTCCAGTTATAGAAAAATATTTAAATTGTATAAAGTTACCTATATTGTTATTATATTCATATTAGCTATCGCCTATCATAGTCGTCAATGGTTTTATTATCTCACTTTTAATCATTATTTGATCATTATTCTTTATACAATTATTGGATATGAGTTTATAAATTTCATTATTTTAAGTTTAAATACATTTTCTAGATATGCAATGCTTTATTTTTCTTAAATACCTGTAAATAAATATTAACATCAATGTGACTTAAATAATTGATAACTCACGAGAATAATGCAACAATTTTATTGATAATCAGCTTATAACATAAGAGTGAAATATTTTACAAAACACTAATATTTTATAAATTATTTTATTTGGATGTACGATATATTTATTTTTAATTATGATGGTTTAGATATTATACTGTGTGCTAAATTAGGGCACCTTCAATTATTTTACTGGATTACATTGGATTGAATAAGGACTTTTTAACAAACTAGGGTAATATATTTTAACAGTTATTTTTCAAAATTATCTTGAATCATGAACTATTACACTTAAATCAAAATTAATTGAATGAGTAATAAATATTCATACAATTTGAATTATTATTAATAATTAACTAGGTAGGTACTAGCTAGATTCTTATTTGTTTTTAGTGTGTATTTTATTAAAATGATAAATATTTTTAATTGTTATTTGTGCCAGGTGAATATATCAGCAATATAGTATAACTTAAGAATATAATTTAAAAAAAGATAAATTTAAAATTTAACTAAGTAATATTATTAGGATGGAATGTAATATTTTTTGTTGGTTTATATTATGTTGGTCCAAAAACCAACCACCTTCCTTCAGAAGTGGCTACTTTTTTGGAAAGATAATTAATAATATTATAAAAGTTCGGTATTCATAATAATTTATGCTACCTAAAATAATAAGTACCACCTACATGTATATATTATTAAAAACATTTTAATCAGTTAATAGATATATATAATTTTTTTTTTGTTGGTTATATTTTAAGCCAATTTATTAATTATTGTAACTTAAGAGGCGATAATTAAAACTTTTACTTTTACTTTTACTAAACAACGAACATGAATATAATAATACTATACTATAGTATAAAGTTTATTAATATACCTATTTAATTATTGTACATTTTACTAACTTTTAATTTACATTGTTTAACTAGGTATTTAAGTGGTTTACTATTAAAATTCTCCAGTATATTTTAAATATGTTTATACATTGAGATATACTTGAGATGATTTAAGGTGAACGAAATTCATTAATGTATCTATAGCAAGAACATATCAGCTCTTGTTTTATTAACAAAGAATAAACAGGTACAACTACAGAATAAAAGTATACATTTAATGATTTAACATTTAGGTATGGAGCTATAGTAAATATTATTTTTTTATTATCTGGAATAGTTTCACTTAAGATTTTAAGAGATTTTTAATTATTGAATTAATAATCATCTATGTGAAATTTATATTAAAATATTACTAACTAAACTAACTATCCATCCAAGTTATAATAATATATTTAAACAAATGTTATACAAATAAGCAATACCACATCATAAGTTAACATAACATTATAGCCAGGGGGTTTGGGTGTTGGAACACACCTCATCATTACATTTGTTCCACTAATAAATCTATTATTTACATACAAAAAAAATGTAAAAAACTTTGTTTAATTTATAATTAATCCCCCCCCCATTCCACAATAATCCTGGGTACCTGACTGTACATAACATAGCATGGGTATATAACTGTATTTTTAAATTATAAATGAATAGTTTTTACTGTTATTGAAGATTTTTAAAATTGGTTTAATGTTTAGTTAACTAACTTTTTTAATGTGATTCACAGTTCTTGTATGGTAAAATTACTATAATTTATTCTCCAGTGAAAAATATGTATAGCAGCAACTAGTTTTATTTAAATAATTAGTTTAATAGAAATATTAAACCATGGATGACTGAGTGAATGTTATAGCTAATTTTATTTATACCAAACATTTAGATGTTTGGATATAATTTTCCAAGCTTTTGTATTAAATATAACATTAGGCAGTTAATGTAGTATTTTAATTATAGGTATTCACCATTTAAAATGTAGGAAATTGATTTTAGTTTGAACTATTTTAACTCTATAGTAGAAGTGGATATTAAAACCAGTATTAAAATAATAATAATATTTGATTAGAAAAGGTTATAGATATCGGAAATGTATGTTCCAATAATTAAAAGTATGTACCTCCTAATAACTAATTATAGCATTTAACAGCTAAACTACAAATATATTATAATGTATAAAGTAGGTAGGTGCCTAAATAATAAAAATAATATATCATTGTTCATTAATTTATTTGGTATAGTTAAATTCTTAATGAATAACTCAGGCTAGGTTATAATATCAATAAATTAATTAATTGCTATGGAATTGTCGTTATATTGACTACATATATGCAAAGGTTTACAAATATTTCCATGTCTACTATATTATTATGTGTATTAGTACTGACTACTGTGAAATATATAAGAACAAATGTTGGAAAAAAATCTAATTTTTAGTATTATAATTAATACTGAATAATTGAACAGTTTACCTGTAAATCCGGTAATGTACTCCGATTATTTTTCGTTTGGTTAATATTACGCACTTGTCGAATAGGTATTTTACATTTTTTTTTTATTCCAAAACCGCATAAGCACGAACATCCTCGCCGTACGCTTGAACATTTGTGACTGTTGTTATCGTCAATGCTGTTGTATTATTATATTGTATTGTCGTCATCGTGGTCTACAGTGTTCACGTCTGCCTGATTATTTGTATGGTTCCCAATAAATGTATTGTGTAATGGTATTTTAATTTCAATTTAATTACTAAAGCCTTTGATTTATAATTTATATCAATTCAATTTGCCATTAATCGATTAATCCAGTTCTATATTACATACTGCGCACAACACAATACTGTTCGTATTTTAGTGAAGAATGTTGCAAAATATATATTCAAATACAATTGTAAATTTTGAGATAAAAAATATTGTATTTGTGTTTATCATCCATGAATCCGTTTTTGTAACTTGTTTTTCTAGGTTGGGTCTATGATGTTGCGTTTGTGATTTGTGTTAAGCAAGTAGGTTTTCACCAATAACTTTTATAATTTCAATTTTTAAGACTTCAAGTAAATTTTGTCACTGTCTGAATATAGGGACATGTTCTCACTACAATAATGTTTTCGTATAATCATAGGTGATTGTCGTATTTACAAGCCGCCAAGACCATGAGCTTTGGCGAAACTATTTTACGTAAATACGGCTGGACTCAAGGTAAACAAAATAATTATTTTTTCAAAAACACATGCAGTTCTAAAGAAATTGTTTTTATCCCGTTGTCTGTAACCATTTCTTGACCTTTATGTTTTTACAAAACATTTAGGATATTATACAATGTCTTGTGTTAACGTTGTGCTTGTACACTTGCTTGCAATCTGTCTGTCGGTTCGAATCTCAGTGCTTTTGCTGGATTAGGTGTTGTAAATTGATATCAATACACTTGGTCAATGTTTGTCATATATGTGTCAAATAATTGCTGTTGAAATAATTTGTGCTGGTAATCAATTATTAGTTGTCAACATATTAGTCAGTTATTTGAATCGGTTAGGTTAGGTTAGTGGTGGTCATTTAGTCTTGATAAGTATTATTAAACAGATACAATTCCCTAAGTAATAAAAACTAGTTTTCTACCATTTATCCCCTGTCTGATAATAACACTGGATTTTTTTTAAAACAACAGTGGGCTGTATCTTAAGACACCAATGGATATCATTTTGTATTCTATATTATTGATCACAGTATTGTGTTATGAGGTTAATTTACAATTAAATGGTGAATATTTATTTTTAATATTAAAAATTCAATTTTCCCATGCCCTAAGATAATAATGGTTGTCGTATGTACATAATATGATCTGATAAAACAACTATAAAAAGTATATGTAATAATATTTTGTATTGAAACTAATCCAGCCATTCAAACAAATCGTTTTTGCTAATATAGTTTCAAAAGTATTTAACCGATAATATATAAATATTACATTGAATAATTGACTATTTAATATATACTTAAATTTGGTACCTTCTTCATTTGATTTACTTATGTATTTCATTTAAGCCATGTTAAGATGAATAGGTATTGAAAGTATGATAAGGGTAATATGATCACATGTCTTGATTAATAATAATTATTAAAAGATTTTTAATTCATATTACTACTAAACACGGTTTAATATATAAATAATAAATAATTATATAATAGAAACACTGCATTTTGGAATTTTAAATAATTATCCAATAATATTTATATTTTTAATTCTCTTTATTTATTTTTATTGTTAATAAACATTATGTACCTACTATAGATTTAGAATAGATAATTGGTACATAAATGTTAATTTTTAATTATTTTTAGATTTGATCTAGAAACAAAACAAGGTAATTTGTTAATTCCATTTCTTACAGACATCCTTATATTTAAAGGCTCATCATTAGGTTAAACTAACTACTTATTTGTTTATGCTTAATAAGAAATATTTATTACTATTGGTTTAGTAGCCTCTAAAATTACTCGTTAGCTTATAGTTGTAACTCTATTTTTAATTTATATTATATTTATTGTATTACGTATGTTTTCAAATTTGTTGTATAAATAATATCTTTCTTGATTTTTCATGCATTCAGTTGAGGAATAAATAAATAAAAATATAAACATGGTTATTGTTTATTTTGTAATCTTCATGTACTAATAGCCAATAGGAATCACAATGGGTAGTAAATATTATGCATTATTTAATTGCATTTATCTTTCGTTATGTATCATTTGGACTAACATATAGACTAATTGTGTTTAGGGTGGTGAGCGCCATGCATGAGGATCGTTGGTACTTCTCAAAAGAGCAGCTGGAGAATACACCCAGCAAACGATTTGGCATCGATGCTGATAAAGAGCTGTCATACCGACAGATTGCTGCCAACCTCATTCAAGAAATGGGCCAAAGGTTGCACACCACCCAACTGTGTATAAACACTGCCATTGTGTATATGCACCGTTTCTACATGTACCACCCCTTTACGTTATTTCATCGCAATGCAATAGCTACTGCATGTCTTTTCCTTGCTGCTAAGAATGAAGAACAACCTCGAAAATTGGAACATGTTCTCAAGGTTTCCATAATTTGTCTGAATAAACAACATGGTCATAATTTTCATCACATTGATAATAAATCTGAAGTTTATTTAGAACAAGTACAAGACTTGTTAAAAAATGAAGAAACATTGTTAAAAACCTTAGGTTTTGAAACAGCCATTGATCACCCTCATACTCACATAGTAAGATGTTGTCATTTGGTAAGAGCCAGCAAAGATCTTGCCCAGACAGCATATTTCATGGCATCTAATAGTCTACATTTAACCACCATGTGTGTCCAATACAAACCAACCATTGTCGCTTGCTTTTGTATACATTTAGCTTGCAAATGGTCAAAATGGGAGTTAAAAGATAGTATGGAGGGAAAACCATGGTTTTGGTATGTAGATCAAAGTGTAACAACTGAACTACTAGAACAATTAACCACAGAATTTTTAACAATATTTGATAAATGTCCATCACGTCTAAAAAAACGATTGGTGGCCACTAATTCAATGGACAAAAATGGAGCATTAGCAAATTATTGTTCTTCTCAACAAATGCAATCACCAACCCCTACTTTGCCTTCTAATTACAAACACCAGGGTCATTCTCGAATGATAAACACCAGGCCTACGCCGTCCAAATTTCCTAATCCTGTAGTCTTCCAACCTCCAACCAAAATTAATGGTGTTCCGGTTGATCACAAATTTGTAGTACCTGTTACTAGACCTATTCCTTCTAAAGAGCAACCCACGCCAGTTGTTCCAAGTAAACCACTAGCACCAGTAAAACCTAAAGTTGAAATACCAACAACATTAAATAATAATATTAAAAATGACATTCTCCCACAAAGACCTAAATCACTACCTAAACCTCCAGAACATGTTATTAAACAGGATGTTGCTATTAAACAAGAAATGGTAGTCAAACCTGAACCTATTCGAAATCAGTTCTCTGTTGGCCGAGATAACCATTCTGAAGTAATAACAAGTGTGCTCAAAGAAATGACCAAGCTTAATGATTTAAATATTTTATCTGTGATCAAATCTCCTCGAGAATCTCCACCCAAAGTTAAAAAGCCATCAATATTTAGTCCAGTACCTGAAGATGAACCACAAGATGTTAAACCTTTTATAATTAAATCTGAACCAGCAGAAAATAATATTGTTATTAAATCTGAACCAATAGACGAAAGTTACAATAAATCTGAACCACTAATAGAAAGTTATGCTAAATCTGAAACAATACTAGAAACTTATATTAAATCAGAGCCAATGAGCCCTCAAATACTGGATGTACCTAAATTTGATCCAGAGTTAATGTTGAATCCTGTTGGTCCAACTGGTACTATTGAAATGGATGGAGAAACTTGTAATTTAAATACACATAAAAAGAAAAAGAAAAAACATAAAGAAGAAAAACGTGAGAAAAAGAAACATAAAAAAGATAAAAAACACAAGGACGGAGAACATAGACATCACAAGCATAAAGATAAACACAAAGAACCGGAACCTATTAGAATTACAATACCAAAAGAAAAAATTAAGCAAATACCACCTGTAGTTATAACTACACCACATTCTCCACCTAGAGGCATTAAGTTAAAAATTGCCAAAGAACGAATAGGAGGTAGTGGTCCAGGTTCTGGAAGTAGTTTACGTATTAAAATCAGTAAAGACGACAGAGGATTAAAAAGGGATCATAGTCCAAATGAAACCACTCCGAAGAGAAATCGTAAAGAACGAAGAGATTCTGATTCTGGATTAGGTTTTAGTCAGAGTTAGTATTTATTGTTTGTAAGCTGGAATCGAAACTATATATCATACATTATTAATTTTTGTTTTTATAACAAAACAGAATGTTTGAGTAAGTATTTTTCATTTGTTTTTTTATTTTATAAAATTGAATTTATAAATTGGAAAAACAGAAAAAAAAACATTTTGCTAATACTTTTTCTCTTAGATAAATGTTTCGATTTCCGGTGTGTGTCGTTGTGCAATATAATAATAATATAATGCTCTTCCCGACACTTGATTTTTGTTTTCGTTTTGTTGTTAACAATTTAAGTGCCTTTATTTTGTTTGGTCTTTTATTATTTTTATATACATGATAAGTCAAACATTATTCACTTAACGAGTAGACCTCCTAGTACATACTCGTACACATAAATATTATAAATAGCCAACATCATCATCTCACACGTCGAGCTATAAACTATAATATTGATTTTGTGATAATTGGCGAACATGCGTCAAACTTATTTGTACCACTACCATTGTAAATATTGTAATGTCGACTGAGTTAACAATCATAGGAGAAAAAATTATGGTTTTTAGGAATTTACATATTAAACATTGTATTTTGCAGAGCTCATAATATATACGTTTCTTTTTTCCGAACTCCCTATGACCTAAATTTTCAACATTCTAGTAAATAAATTTTTTTAAATTGTATATTTTGTATTTGTACTTGGTTATGTAATTATTTTTCTGCGTACATAAGTAAAAAAAAATGTTGTTAAAAAGTATTTTTTTTTTTTTAGTTAACATTCTTATCATCCTCAATTTCTTATGACATAATATTATATCATACATAAATGTGAGTAAATGTGATTCTATAACATTACACTAAAAAACAACATTAAAGTTCATTAATAACATATGTGTGACCCAATGGAATAAAATTATGAAGGTTAAGTACATCATAAAATTATATATATAGTTTTCAAAAACTTATTCCATATTAATACAATATGGACATTGAGAGAAAGCTACCTGTTATTGGTAAAGAATCCGATCATATCCCCCCATCATTGATATAATTAAAAAAAAAAAAAAATTATACAGAAAATGATCAACCATTTTACTTAATGCCAATCGTTTAACCGATTATAATATTGTTGTTCATCTCATATATCACCAGTACATGTAAAATAGACATTACTAGAAGATCTACAAATTATTGGTGTATATGTTGAACCGATTGACAGACAAGCAAATTGACACATTTAAGTACAAAATTATAATTACCTAAGCAAACAGCTTATTTGTTTAAATGAAATAATGATTGTTTTATCTGGTTGATATCATGGTTAGGCAAGGGTCTAGGCAAAAAAGAAGATGGAATTGCCGCTCCCGTCCGTGCAAGTCTGAAATTTGACCAAACTGGTGTTGGTTATGACACAGCTAATGCGGAGTCGTATGGTGATAAATGGTGGACTCGTACTTACAACGATGCTGCCAACGGGATAGATGTCCAAAATAAAGTAATCAATTCAATATGACAAACGTTTAAAATGTAGAAAATAAAGTTACCATTAAAAAATATTAAACCAATACATTTAGTATTAGTTATTACTAATATGAAATACTAAATTTAATTTTATAAAATATTCTCTTTTACAGAATGGAAATGTTACTTTTAAACCAAAAAAAAAGAACAAGAAAAAAAAAGTTAAGGTAATTAGCATTTATTAATTATTAATATGCTATACGATCTTCGTCTACTGCGTAAAGCCCCGTTCACACCATGAAACATTTGTTGGAAACATATTTTTGACAAATGTTTCTTTGGTAAGGACTCTGGACAGGGCCGGCGTTCCATAATATTTGTAAGGGGTAGTGGATACACGTTCGCCCCGCTCAAAATACGATGTTTTGTTTCTATAATTCCATATTATATCTTTTTTGATTTTGAGTGGATATCATAAAACAATAACTATTGCTTATAAGTTCTAACTTCTAAGTTATAAAAATAAGTATTAATTATTATGAACCTACTTGAGTATTTCGTTGGAACATCAATTGCGGCGTCGCACTAAAAGGGTTATTTGCTATTCCAAGACTAATGTATTTTTTCTTTAACATGATTACGACATTTTTATTTCATGTTTACTACGATTGTTTAACTAATATTAAATTTTAATTTATATTACCCATTTTTAATAAGTAAATAAATATATTAATAGAAATATGAATATTATTTTTTCCCAAATGGATACACCGATTATAAAATATCGTATTTGAACTTACGCGGATAAAGGGCGTTAAAAAACATATTTTACAAAAAAAAAAATGTTTGAAAAATTCGATTGGAAGCTTAATTATAAGATTTTTATAGAATTGTTCCGGAGATGACGGTTACCGCCCACCGCAATGACCGTTTGCTATCCAGATCCCAGGAAATACGTTTCCTTAGCCAGTATAGAAAACAATAAATACTCTTAAATGATGGTGGTGGTGGTGGAGAAACGGGGAAAAAATCATTATATTGAAGTATTGAGCTTAAAATAAAACGTATTTTTCCACTGTGGACTATTTTATTTAATTTAATTTGTTTTTTTTATGTTCTGACTGAAAAATGTGGTTCAATAAGTGAGGGGTCGAACGATCACTTAAACCTCCGTCCCTAGGCCGCTTAATATAATATTTTAAATGTTTTAATTTGTATATTATTTTTGTTTAGAAAATTAAAATCGAGGAGGTTAAATCAATTTTAGAGTTATCAGATGAACAGTTATTCCAAGCTTGTGGTGGGATTACTTGTCATAAGTAAGTTTAAGACAAATATTTTATATAAATTATCTATAATGTAAATAAGTTCTATGTGCAAAACTTGTGTTAAATTTAATATTTAAAGTGTCCATTGTTGTTTTAGAGCCGCTAGACATGGATTAAATATGGATGGAAAGTTGGCTAGATTACGTAAACAGGATGCACAATTATTGGCCGCTAATAAAATAAAAGAAGAAACCAGCTGTGGCACAGAGAATAAAAACTAAAATGTAATAATTGTACTATTTTATAAAATAAATGATTGATTTGATTATACATTTTGTAGATGAGAAAAATAATTACACAAATATCATACACATAAATATCAAACATATATTTTTACTAAATGTACACAAAATTGAATTAATCGTATAAAAAATATAATAAATCAAGAACATAATATTATACAAATTGTTATATTGTTTTAATTTTACTATGTTTCTTCTTAATTTTAATAATAAGTTATTACACAATTTGAGCTTCAGGAAAACGTTCAACGTTTAACGTTTGCCATAACAATTAAATATGGCAATTTGTTACCTATTTTAATAATATTAGACAAACTGAAATATCTTATATGAGCAAATCAATAAGAATACAAATTACACACATGTACGTATACATTTTAATAACTTTACATTTTTATTTGAAAAAAAATAATCACCTATGACTAATTTGATTGGTATTATTGTGGCTGCGTTCATATATATATATTATATAATATAAAATTAAAAATTAACTTCTCAATAACTTAATGTATTATGTATAAATGTATAATGTAAGACCAAGTTTTGTGTTCTGATAATATTTTAATTTTTTGAATTGCGTATCACGTTAGAATCGCTGGATGAATATAATTATTAATTCAAATAGGTAAATCATATTTATTTACACACAGTTTAAGTAGGTACGGTGGTAGGACATCGTTATACACAATTCAAATGAGATAAATGATTAATAATAGTTGGATTTTTTGCTGTATAACGTTTTCCAAAGTAATTTTTATCTGTAGTGGCTGTCACAAGTGACATACAATTATCTTTTTAGTTTTTAATTTTTACACTGAACGCACCCGGTTAATGAAACTTAAATCAAAAATATCATACTTAACTAACTAAACAGTCGTCAATAATTATTTCAGTACAGAATATTCAATAATTTCAAAAAGTTGTCATACAATGATATTTTTTTTCTGCAAAATTTCGTTGCGCTTCATACTATTATGGTATATAAAAATCGTACGTTTTTGCTGTATTCGTACTACAGATGTAAGTTATAAGTACAACTGAGCAAATCGCAAAGCCGTTATAACTACAGGAGAACAATATATGGTAAGTTTATAATATAGTTGTATACATAATAAATATAGTTAACTACAAAAGTACAAAACATTTGATTACGAGAAGAACACTATGCAGAGAATTAAAAATAGGTATCAATATAATAATAATAATAATATAGGTACATCACGGTGCATAGGTAACCTAGTACCTTCATGTATTAAACAAAACAATGAATAATGAGTTGAAAATTGCACGTTCCAATGCCCCTCATAATTTTAGCTACAACGTAAAAAATTCTCGACGGGTTCGAAATTTAATTTTACTGACTACCTCCTATAATTAATATAACGTGTTGCGTACAATTTGTATGAAAGGTACGTATTTCAAACCAAAAATGTTCTAAATCGAGTAAACGAGTTCGTTATTGGTGCACCAACCGAATATAGGTTCCGCAGTCCAAAGAACATTAAATAGCGCTCCCGATAGTCACTTATTTCACGTATAGGTGGGATGAGAATGCACGTGTCGGTTCACGGTTGTTTTAAAATACCAACAATTTGAAAATGGTGATAGGATAACAGCTGGCGCCACACTGCACCAAATATGTTTGTATAATATATTAATATGTATACCGATCAGACCAAAAAAACGATTGTTTATACAAATTACGTTTAGTTGAATGCCCGACAATCGTATAGCCCGATACGAATATAGGTACAAATGTACAATGATACAATACTGTTGTTAGGCACAGTCAAAACATAGGCATTTAATAACCGAACATTCGAATCATTTGTAAGGAAATCTATAGCCTCTCTTTGTCTTACACTACAGGTAAGTTGTCTGGGCGATCGGCATCCGGGGACCTATCTGACGAGTGACGACCGACCATAATTATAGTCTCTTATTATTATTAATATTACTATTTACTACTACCGTTTTTCACGCATTCACACGTAGGTTACTATAGGTCACTGGATCGTGAGTTGGATATGTACCTCTATATAGGTGTAATTTACAGAAATGTATTAAAGCCGTTCCGATTTTCGATCATTGACAAAATATTCAATCTCAACGCGTATTATACACTGTATCATTCTTTTATTGAACGACATTCATTATTTCAAAAACATTACCTAGATAGCAGCTGTCTTGTTTTATTTTATTTTAAATTTAAATCGTTAAAAAACAAATTTTTTATCATTTTTAAATGACAACATACATTTTTATTCGAATTATAATATTTCTATAGGTACTATAAAAAAATCAAATTCCAGGCGAGTATGCTTATTAGTTGTAAATTGTAAGTGTTTAAAGTTATAAGCTATAAGCTACTCGTCCAAAATTCAACTGCTATGCATCGAACTACCTACACAAAAATATTTTGTTTCGGAACAAGAAATTAAAATGTATGTTGTTGTTCAAAAAACTTAGGAAACGATAAAGATAAAAAAAAAATGGAAAAATATAGGTAAGTAGCATTTTTGTCTTCAAAAATATTGCTTTGGAATGTCTTAAAAATATTATGAAAAACGTTAGTACCCATCTTAAAAATAAGAACAGAAGTCGGCGGCCGAGTTCTGAGCATGGGCGTGGCTTTGTTCCGTGGCAGCGCCCGACGTGTCGCCGTAGTGAGGACTGCGTCTGACTCGTCGTCGCCGACTACTGTTCTTATTTTAAACAGATATATAGTTTTTGAAATAATGATTGTTTTCAATAAAAGAATATCACCTTGTATAATATAACATTATGGTGTAATACTGATATATGTATGGGTGGTACCTGCATTTTACAAATCGGGGTGATGGGCCGGTGGGGTGATTTCGCGTCGACGCCGCGACGTAACATAAAATACATTGTTTCATACACTAATATAACGGACAATAATTGCGTAGGTACATGTATATAAAATAAACAATATTCGTTGCATGTAGTTATAGGGTGGGGGGGGAAATATACCTATGCCTCTATCTACACATAATTAATATAATATATATTATACACCTATATAATATGTACAAAAACGATGTTATCACAGTGACCGCAGTTTAGGGGATAGGGTTTAAATTGTATCGTGGGTAGTGGTTGGGACCGCGGGGACTAGACGTGGTAATAACATCGCATTTTTTATGTGATATCAGTTGTACACAGTAATAATAATAATAATATAATATAAAATACGCGTTTGTGTGCGTGGACGACAGGTGAGCGGAGGGTCGATCACAGTTCGGTGGTGACCTCAACGTCCTTCCGGTTGAACGTCGTCAGCCCGTTGCCGTTGTGCATCGCGGGACGACCAAACTCCTTTTTCTCCCGGAACGTCACATTGTCGTTGGTGGGACTGATGACGGCCGCCTCGGCCGCGGACTCGGTGTCGTCCGACGGTTCGAACGCCATGTTCGTCCGGCCGAACGTGCTGGTGCCGCCGTTCGACATGCCGCGGCCCATACTCGACGTCCTGGCCGTGGTCGCCGCTTCCGAGCTCACAGGGCTGTGTCCGTCTGCAGAATATGGGATTGCCATGTATTAGAAAATGCATAGGAAACGATATTTTCACGTTTTTTACACAGCATTTAAAATATCGTTTTATTATCTCACTCAGTCGACCATCATTTGCGTAAGTTTTTTTTTTAATTTTTTCAAATGTTACATTATATTCCTGCTTTACTTTAACATATTTTTTTCTCGTCGTCACTATAGTAGTATAGTCACAACAAAATATTGTTCTACGAAATTATGTCGGTTTTTGTACAATTCGTATTTTTATTAGAGAAAAATCGCATTACAATAACTTTGTGAAGTACCTAATATTATTACGCGATATAGATAAAATATTAGAAGCAGCATTTTCATTTTTTTTTTGTTGCGTAATTTTAAAGTCTTAACTACTATTATTATTTACTATAGCCAAAAATATATTTTTTACACGCATTCGAGTGCCTATAATTCTACAAAAACCAACACCCCCCTACAATTTGGGTCATGCAAATCGGGCGCAAGTATGCATATTATAATAATGAGTTGGACAACCATTGTTCTCGTGAAAAGTTATTTACGTGGGTACGTAGCGGCGGTGGCGGCGGTTTGGTACATTAATAGTCAATTAGATTTCGGAAAAAAAATACAGATGCTGCACATTGTTTCATACGCCACCCCGTGCTAACGCTTATGGCCTTATTAGTATATTATTATATTAGATTAATATTAGTAACATGATGAATTTTATTTTTAAGTGGTGGAGATCAGACTAGGCATGAATTCTTTTCTCTCTTTGACCCGCACGCAACATGGATCAAATTTGTGTTGTTAACTTTTTATATTGGAGTGAATTGACCTGCTATTATCAAACTTAAATGAGTGAGAACACTATCTAGGGAACCTCATCGGAATTATTGATGTTTTAATTTTATATGACTTATAACTATAAATATTATAATTTTAAAATGCTAATAACTTGCTTAAAATTTAAAACATCGAAAAAACACCAACGTACAAAACTAGTAGGTAAGTATAAACACATAGATAATGGTCTATAACGGATCTCGCATTTAATATTGGTTATACATAATTAATTTCAATTCTGTTGAACCGTTGAACGCAAATTTGCCTTATTTTGCGTTTGTAAGACGGTGGCACACATTCGGGTTTAGGTACTCGTTAGATAATATTATCATATCGTCCCGTTAGAAAGCTCTGATCACACAATAGGTAGTTGTTGTTGTACACTTGTGCATAATATTATGTTTTTATGTGATGTTAATAATTTATTATTATTACCGATGCTGTCGACGTTCTCTTTGGTGATGTACCCGACGTTGTCCATACTGAACGTGTGATTTTTTCGGCTAAAGTCCAGTTGCAAGTCGTTGTAGCTGTCGTTGTCGTCGATCGGTACGCTCATTTGGAGCACCTGAGCAAAAAAACAGTCAGTTGAGGGTATATTAGTCGATCGTTGCCAGCGAATCGTCTTAATCCAAATCTTACCTGTACCTCGTATTCCTTCATGTTCGGCTCGATGAATACCGGGTCGTACCGTTGCGTCACGTACATCCGGGCCATCCTCTCCTTGTACGCCTTGTACCTGATACAACGAACGCGTTTATCACATATTATATCATTACATTGTCGTACTATTATTGCCTACTATTATTATAGTGTACTCTGCAGGGCGAGCCGTCTCGTTTTTCCGCGTCGGCACTCGGCATGTTGTGGGAAAACGAGGAGGCTCGCCGTGCAGTAGGTATATATATATTATACTTGTATACGTCGCGCGTTATCGCCCGCGGCTCGGAGTTCGAACTTACCTCGACCACGACACGCAGATGTAAATTATGCCGGCGATGCCCAACACCAGGATCAGGGCTGCCATGAGGATCAGAGTGTACGGGAATACGGTCCATTGGATGGTCACGCCCGCGGTGTGGGTCCGAGTGACGACGTTCTGCTGTTGCAGCGGCAAATGGATGTCCGACGCAATAATTGACAGTTTCTCGGCTATCATCGTCGTAATGTTTCCGACGGAATCTTTGTTCAGTATTGACCTGCGCGATTGGAAAAAAACCAAACACGAAACGTCAATTTACAACGAGGTTTATTAATAATAATATTATTCGCGCGTATATAATAGCACAGCAGTGTCATCGTGCGTTACACGCCAGACAGCGGAAACCGTTTTATATTCTCGCAGAGTGAATCGACGACCTCAAACCGGTTGTGGAAACACGAAACTTACGTCGTTATAGCCCGCCGATTTTGCACATATAGGTAAGCCGTCGTCGGCTGCACGTATTACACCATGTAGCTATAGGTAGCTGCAGACATGCATGCCGTTATTTAATTACCTGGCCACTTTGGTGTTGTTTCGTTCCAAAATCGTCTCGCTGGCAGGGTCTACAACGTAAAACCAGAAATCGGTGGAGCTGGGATCGGTCTCGACGGTCAGGTTATCTCTCCGCCTGTACTGCTTGGCCGACACTTTCTCGCCGCCCACGATAAGCTGCAGGAGTTTTTCTAGCGCGTCTATCAATTTGTTTTCGGACGATTTAACGATGTCCGGACGTGCGCCGTCGATGGCCATCACCAAACGGTGTTGGTCTTTGATCACGTTTATCTGTAAAAGACAAAAAAATAGGTCATACTCGCGGTCTGTAAATCCTGCCCATAGGGGAGGTGCAGGCGTGGATCCGGAAGATTTTAACAGGGGGTACTCAAACAAAAAATGTGGGCAAGTGGGTGTCTCTCTGCTGTACAGTAGGTTACAATTTGATCACAGTAGTCTGTAATGGATAGTGTTACATTTGAATTCAATGATACAAAATCATTGTATAAGAAAAGTGATTCTGAGCGAAGACAGTCAGTCAGGCTATAATATTACTAAGTATATTTGATGATATTTTTATGAATAAAGTAATTTATTTACCTATTTACGTGAAACTTTGTTTTAAGTTGTCAATCTTTAGCTATAAAAGCTAAACATTTTATACATTTTTAACTACAAAATAATTTAAAATTCAAAATTAGACACATTTTGTCAAAATTCAAACTTTAAATGCTTATAAAAAAATGTTTGCTTATATGTATTTTAAAAATGTCTAGTTAACAGTAAAAATATAGCAGGAGCCTTGTATTAAATGTTGATGCTTTTTGATCCAACAAATAACATTTTATTGACAATTAAAGAAAAAAAAAAAGCCAAAAAAATTTTAAATGTCCGTAAACAGCTCAAAACAGGTCAACATATTTTGTACATTTTATCAAGTATGGGAATTGATAAGTTGTTATATGGTATAAAATTCAAGTACCTAACTACAGTTATTCATGTTTGAATTACAACAAAATAAGATAATCGCTACATGTAAAAATTTAATTTGACTTTCCGATAGATATTTTTTTTTGATAAAGGTAGACAATAGACATATTTATGAGGAATCTTGTATTAAATTTTCCAATGTTAGATTTAAAAATACAATTTTTATGTATTCCTAACTAAAAATAATTTGCACATTTTCGTGATTTTTATGTATTTTGTTAAAATTTGAACTTTAAATAATTATAAGAAAAAATTGTGACTGTATATTTAATATTTTTCAAACGTCATTGTAACAATATATTAAGAGCCTTGTATTCAATTTTCAAGCTTTTTTACCCAAAAAATAAAATTTTATTGGCAATCATATAGAAAAAAAACTAAAAAAAAACTGAACATTTATTATGTCCGTAAACAGCTCAAAACAAGTCAAAATATTTTGATCTTGTGAATTTTATAGTGTACAGAAATTAATGCTAATATAAACATTCAGTGAAAATTTCATGTATCTATACGGTTATTTGTTTTAGAGTTACACCAAAAACCAAAATTGATTTTGTCGAAAACTGATTTTGCTTAAAAATTCCCATTTTTCTTTAGTTTTTATTTTATTATTCTAGGCGCTTTTAAAACTATTGGAGTTTTAAATTTTGACCTTCTGAATGAACCAACTATATTCACTTTTCCATCGATCGAGATATGTATTGTTGGAAAAAATCGAAGCAGTTAAACTGCCCCAAATACGGCGATGACAAAAACAAAAAAATTAAAAATGTATAAAAAACACATCATCCACACATCGCTCCGCTCAGAATCTAAAAAAAATGGTTACACCTTTCTATTTTAGAATTTTTATACAAATGTATTTTATTAGTGGTTTAGAGTGCTTTAGACGACAGGGGGTGCCTGAGCACCCACAGCCCCCCCTCCGAATCCGTGCCTGAGGAGGTGTAAGGAAGATTGCTAGTTCGAGCCAACTCAAAAATGTATTTTATTTTTTTAATACTCACTACGACGTGCGCTTGAGCCGTGTTGTAGTCGCTGGGATTCGTGGCCCCCGGGTTGTCGCGTGCCGTGACCACAAGTCGGAACGGTAAGTTCCTCGGAAGCACGTCGGTCAGCGTCCTTAGGGTTTTTATGATTCCGGTTTTTGGGTCGACGGCAAAATAAGGACCTTCCGTCGAGTTCTGATCGTCGTCGTCGGCCAACTCGTATCTCACGTCACCCAATTTTCCCCCGTCCAAGTCCTCCGCTTTCACCTGCAACACCGCACTGCCTATTTCCTCGTCGGCCGATACTGCTCCGTAATACGCGTTCTTGGCATAGCGTTTGCTGCTTTCCGGATACACAAAAGTAGGCACGTTGTCGTTTATGTCGATCACTTGCACGTTTAACTATTAAGCGTATTTAGAGTTTTATAATATTTATTGACATATATAAACACTGTTATTAAGTATGTGTATATATTAGGAGGTACCTAAGCAGTACCTATTATAATACATACAAGTATAGTGTATATTGATATTATAATAATTGTACATTATTGTAATGCACATTATACATTACTTACCATAGTAGTGCTTTTTGTCGGGTTAACGACTCCGGCAAGCGTGTCAAGACGTATTTTCAGTTGATAACTCTCTGCGTGTTCGTGATCTAATTTTGTTTCCTTTAAACGTACTTCACAATTTTTCTCAGTTGTGACGTTTATTGTAAATACATCTACGCACACCAATAAAACAAAATGAAAATCGGGTGTTATGGCATGTTTTTTTCATATCAAATACATCACAAATATTTTTTTATGTTTATACTAAAAATAAATGTGATTATCTAAACAATAATAATATTATTATTTTTACGGACTATATGTATACAGGTATTAAAACCAATAGAAAATGCATAATATTTGTGTTACTGCAGATGTTAATAATATGGTAAAGTTAACATTATTATTTAGTTTAGTAATAGCCACTATTATATTAAATATTCATCTGTAATGCCTTTACCTTCAGAGTTTCCGGAAACTATAGTACAAACGAGAGGAAGGGGTAGTGATGGTCTTGGGTGTACGACAGTCAGAACTTTAACCAAAGTACCAACAACCGCAGATTCCAAAACTCGAGCGGAGTACGAATCGTCCGAGAACCCCATTCCCAATTCTGGTATTGGAGTCGTGACACGCCGAACAAAGATTGTCACTGATGTCACTGACGAGAGCTGAGGTTCGCCCAAATCATAAGCTTTTACATCCACCTGTATAATAAATAATAATTATATAATTAATTACATAATATGTGTGTGTTGATGCAGTGAATAATATGTATTGATTTGTTTAGTTGCACGTATATATTAATTAGTTTTAAGACTTAAAGTTTTAAAAATAATAATGTATTATATAGGTAAACGCCACTAAACGGTAGTAGTATGTGTTATGTGGTTATTAAAGGGAATTGATAATAATACGAACATTCAATTAATATAATTAAATTTCAGCAACCCGATAAAAAGTAATGATTAACCGATTGTAATGGTTTCAGAAATATTAACTAGACTATAGACGTAGTGCGTACATAAGAAAACATGTACCTATTCAAAAATGTTATGAAAATAATCAATGTGGGTGGTCAATTGTTAACTGTATAGTAGATATTATAATATGTTTATATTAATAATTAGGTTATATTTGTTACATATTATGCAAATATGCAATAAATCTGAAGTAAAAGTAAATCGTAAATGTGTCGTAGGACTGTAGGAGTGTTTGATAATTTGCTTATTACGTGTACATTTATTTTTACCTATAATTGACCACGATACTCAATAGTTAAATGCGAATTTAATAATGTTAAAATAATCAAAACATAATTTATAAATATTTTCAACTAAAATTTTATAAGTTTAATACTTATTACAAATAAGATATAATTTATCAAGTTTTGAAAGCTGCTAAGCTAATGTTAGTTTAATAAAATAATTACAATTAATTTACCTGATATTCATTATCGGGTTCTTTTTGTAGATCACCGCGCACGTATAAAACACCAAGATCAGGGTCAATGTGGAAATACTTTAAGGCTTTTCCACGGCCACTCAATTCGTACCGGACCTAAAATACAATTTTTTTTTGTTACAATTCATCAGATTAAATAATGTCTTGTTAATTTACCTTATTTCCTGGAGATGTTCCATCCGAATCAGTAGCTAAAAGAGTCGTGACTTTAGTTCCAATAGCTACATCGTCGTCGAGTGTTACAGGCGATGGTATGGTTAGAAATACTGGTGGGATATCATTGCGATCTTCAACGTTCACAATTACTTTCGTTGTGGCGCCGGGTGTTTGATTTGAATTTTCCAATGTTCCAATGATTAGTGTATGTTGACTGTCTTTCTCGTAATCTAAACCTCTAAGTGTTCTAATCGTTCCAGTAGTCGGATCGATGGTAAATAAATCTGAAGGTCCTTGTTTTATTACGTAAGTCACTCGTTTCACTGTATCGGGATCATCAGCCTGTAATTATTATACACAATATATATTAAGCATAAATTCTAAAATAAAGCATAATATACTTGAAGATTAAAAAAATTATGTTATGGATACCTAATATGATTTTTTAACATAAATTACAAGTTGGGCCTAATTAATTTACAAGCCAAATATTTTTTTTTTTTATAATTTGCATAAATTATAATAAATAATAATAATAATTCTTAAAAAAAAATACACACGTGCACTTGAGTAACTAGGAAATCGGGCGCATTCTCTGGTACTTTTGCTTCATATAGTGTCTTATGAAATAGTGGAATTTCGTCTTCAACGTCTTTAACCGAAACAGTCACAGAAGCCGTTCCAATACGTGGATCTGGCGCTCCGTCTTTTGCGGTAACCACAAATTTATATTCCTATAAAAATATTTACAATTCGAGTATGTTATTTTTTAATAAAATACGATATTCCTACTAAACTCTAAACGAAAATACATTTTTACTACTCACATTGTTTTTTTCATAGTCCAAGGCTGTAGCAGTACGTATATGCCCTGTGTTGACATCAATTAAAAATGGCAAATCGTCAGGCAACGAATAATGAACTAAAGCATTTATTCCTTCGTCTCCGTCTACAGCTTCTACTTGTCCCACAGCGGCTCCGTCTAAACCTTCGTCCACCGAAAACTCATACGGGGCACCAATGAATTCCGGATTCTTATCATTAATATCACTAATTTTTATATTTAATGTTGTTGTACTCGAAAGTCCTCCTTCGTCTTGTGCTTTGATTAACTGTATACAAATGTTTTTCATTAAATTTTACTCAATAATAAAATCGGCAATAACGAGAAATCTTACCAATTGATAACGAGTCAGCTCTTCACGGTCCAATTTTCGTATAACGCCGACTATTCCAGTTTTTTCGCCAATTGTAAATTGTCTCAAATCATTCCCTGATAAGATAGTGTAAGTGACGGGATCATTTTCGGGATCAATGGCTTTCAAAGAGATAACTGTTGTGTTTATTGGCGATCCTTCACTAACAGTCACTTCGTATGAAGATTGTGAAAATACCGGGGATTTAGTATTTGGTCCTGCTATTACAACAACTTCGACAATACTTTGGGTATATAAACCTCCTGAATCAGTAGCTTGGACAGTTATACTATACTGATCACCAGCCATCATTCGACCAGTGGTTTCAATCCAGCCAGTTATTGGATCAATATGGAACTTACTGTGGCCTTGGTTTGATACGTGATATATACTATAAGACACATTAGCGTTTTGACCTTCGTCGTTGTCCACTGCTTTAATCTGCATAAAATTTGAACAGTCAATGAAAATTCATAAAAATCAATTAGTATAATAATTCACAACGTACTTGGACAAGTTGTCGCCTAGAATTTCCAGCTTGGATTGTGATCGGAGACAACATTGGCATTCGCGGAGGATTATCATTCACATCTTTCAAGAACACTGTCATTAGGTATGGAATGCTACCGGCATGTCCATTAACTTCTCTAGCCACTATCTAAAAACAACATTTATCACAATAGTATTAAAAAATCTTTTGTGTGATTGCAACTGACGAGTGAGAAAATTGTATAACATTTATATAAATTTGTATTTACTTGAAAACGGTATTTTCCAGGATTTGGCGGATCTCTGTCTAATTTTTCTTCATTTACATAAATATTTCCATCGGAGTCCACATTAAAAGAATTAGTTGTGAGTTCAAACATATAAGTTACTTTAGGATCATTTGGTCCCTATAAATAACACGTAGGTATAATAAATATTTGGGTATTTAAAAACTAAAATGATTTATTTTAAGTATCATATTCTTGTGTGCATAAAAAACTAGTTTTATATTTTAGTTTTAATATTTACCAAATCATCGTCAGTTACGGATAACATGATTGGTTGTCCGTTCTTATCTAAAACTTTTGTACCAACAGGTGAGTTTTCTTCTACAAATCCGTATCCTTCGTCAACAGCAGAACTATGTATAACTGGTGGATTGATATCGACAGGCTTTACTTCAATGTACAGTTTAGCCGTAGTTGATCTGTGGTTGGACGATTCTTCTTCAGCCTTAAACATGAACATTTGTGACAACTAATCTTTTATACAACTATATAATATTTTTATAACTTACCTTGACAGTTATTGAAAATCTCTTCGTCAGACTAGTATCTACTGCTTTTATTTGTTTTACAGTACCGAACTGAGGATCGATGGTGAAGTATTCTGCGTAGAATGAAGGAGACCCATCAATAAACGTATACTCAATGGGATAATTCAATGAATCCATATCTACAGCTTGTATTTTTTCTGGTCTTATAGTAAGGACTCCAGAATTTACACCACTGGCAACCTAATGAATAAAATATAAATATTTAGTAAAACATTAGTGATTTTACATACCCCAATAAAGTTTCAATATAGCCATATAGGTACATAAAAGTAAAAGTAAATCTTTCTTTGTTAAAAAAAATTTACTATTGGCCATGAAGTAAATAATTATTTAGTACAGATTATTATTTTTAATTTAAACAAAAGATATAATATAATACATAATTATAACTTATAACAAGACAACAATGACGAATTGAAAAATTTATCCCATTTGATGTTTTAATCGTCTAATATACAATAATCTATTATTCCTCACTTAATGCATTATGGGCTTATGGACCTCAAAATTGTTTACTAGATTTAAATGAATGGATCTTTTTAAGTCAATACAAACTACAAGTCATTTTTACTGAAAATAAAATAGGTTTTGTGTTATTTTAATAGAAAACATTTATCATTTTAAGTAGATATATTGTAGGTAATTACTAATATAATATTAAGAATAACGTTTAAACACGTTTACATCTGTAACGACTTGTATGATTTCTGCACATATGTATTTGCGTTTACCGTCGTAAATCATAATCATTCGACTTTAATAATAAATCACAAATATAAAAATGCCATTTATATTCACCCCCCCACCCCTTAAACACGCTCACTTATCAAACTGACGATATGTAATATAGTTTACGATTATAGTAGTTCGAATGAAACCTGCGGGCAACCGGAAAACCGGTTAAGCGTTAAATGTTTAGCTCTCTCCCATGAATGAAACAACTAGTACGAACGTAGTATTATATATAGGTATAATATTATGTTGATATATCGGATTGGTCATTTTGATTTTTAGAGCAGAAAATAATGGACTAAATTAACCCGAATGCATTCTGTTTCATACCGATATCATGTTTAAATCTTTACATAATATTTACCGCGGTCATATGTACTATATTAATATAATGGTTACTCACAGTGGTGTGATATTCCGGATTTATGCAAGCTCCGTCCTGAACCGTGCATCCTTGATAATTGAACGACGGGTCCTGATCGTCTTCGTCTTTTACCATCACAGTAAGAGTTGTAGTCGACGTAAGTCTGTCTTCGGGGTTCTTGGCTCGGTCCTGAAATCATTTTTATTTCATTCGTTCAACGATGCTGAGAAAATATAATTTATCGGAGACAAACGGGATGTGGCACCGACCGGCAAAGGGTACAGATAAATGGGGCCGACGTCGAATTCAGTTGCCTGTCCCAGGGCGTACGAAACACACCAACAATATCCGATTAAAATAAAAAACCTATCCATTTCGAAACATTTAAACAAAGACTACGACGATTCACGCATCCAGACATTTAAAAAACGTGTCCGACCTCTGCAACCATTGCTGTTCTGTCATAGATGTGCCATATGTACAGTGTGTGTACCTATATTACACGTACCTATATAATGTGAGTAGTGTGTACGCTGTAGCGTGTGTGTACGCGTGTGCTCGTGCATATTTGGATGCGTGTAATATTCAAATAATAATATAAACAACTACCTACTATACTTTAATGCCTACACCTACCGTTCATCGACATCCGACTGTTCTATTTATTCGACACACTGCGTGTAAAAACATAGAATATTAATTATAATATTATTGTTCGAAGCCGTAACTGTATATTATTATATGTATATAATATTATTACACAGTCTTTAAGTACACACTCAGAATGACTCGTACATTTACGAATGATTTCATCCAATCGTTTGGTAGGTACTTACTAGTTATACAATAATAATATAATATCACATATTATTAAGTGTATATGTTTAATGCAACTGCAGGCCGGGTTATTGAGTTTCGAGAATATTCCCACCCATCACTCAAAACATTTTATAGTGAACACCGTGGGATATATTTTTGAAATAATAAAGGTCGTATGAATTTTTAAAAAATCGGTCATGGTAAATTCAAAAATTGTATAGTTATATATGAAATTAAATTACCTTTAATATACGTTATGACGGGTAAAGCAGAAGAGGTTTATTATATTTTGATTGTTCAATTCATAGATACTGTATAGATAGTGATAACACGGGGGTCGAATATAGTGGAGGTCAAACTTTTGTGAACCATAAATATCATTACTAAGTGGGCTTATGACACGAGAACAAATTAATAATGTCAGTTGTTGAATAGGTACTCAAATGTAATGTGTGTTGAAATAGAATTATTACTATAGCTTCGAGGTCGAACTAAAAGAAAAACTCTGAAGATCTACGTATAGGATATATTTTAACGCCTCAATAATTAGTCTAACTATATCTAACCAGAATGACTTGCTCACGTCATTATTAAAATAGAGCTACACACGTATAAATAGTAACATTTTATTAATATAAAAGTATTAGGTGTAAACTTTTTTCTATTGTTTAGATCAACAAAATATTTTTAAAATAATAGCACAAAATATTGATATCATAAAATGGCTGGCGAACAATAACACGAAAATGTGTTAAAAACGCACTCGACTTGAAATATGATTATCCATTGTCAACAGATCGTATTACACATTATACGCGTGCACATGGGTATTACAATTATAATTATTATTGTATTATCAACCACCAACGCTATTTATTTGGCTAATTTCAACACTCAATTATTATTATAATATTTTAATATTAATCTCTGGCGTGAGGAACCTATCATCAAAAAAAAAAAAAAAAAATAACAACAATAATAATAATAATACCAAATCTCAAGTGTAGGATTTATGATGAGTCATTACTATGATATGAAATCCGTAGGAGATGAATAGATGATGCATACATAATATAGACGCGCAATCTAAACCAGAGGTCGTGGCGTAGGACGTTTGTCTGCAGTGCGAAACGCGAGACGACGTGTGTAGGTATGTGTAATCCCTCCTTTTCATACGTTTCGTTTGCTAAGGGAAGTGGTATAAGCGTATAGGTGTATAATAATATAATATAATAAATCGGATAAAATGCGTATATGTGAGAAAGAAAATAGTATCTATAACCGGTCTGCAAGAAAGAAAAAAGTACCAGTGTAACTAGAGCGGCTTGCTTAAATTGGACATTTCCACTTTGGCCTCGTTATTAAACCCTATCGCGTATAGTGCGTGTCCCAGCACAATAAACGTAATATTATATTTTAAGAATATTACACGGTTTCGTAGTTTGAGGATACAGTTCCAAAAGTCGATTTCGGCTTATGAATCAACATCGCAGAGAAAAATAATTACAGCGGTACTGATTATATAATTACAATATCTAATACAGTTACTAAGTTAGAAATTCGTTTCCACAGAAAAAATCGATTTGAAGATACACGATAGTAATATTAAACATTCAAACATTCAATTTTACACGTACCGTTGCTTGTATCGTTACGAAGTATTTTTGAACTTTTTCAAAGTCCAGGCCCTTCTGCAGTATTATTTCGCCAGAATTGGAAGACTTCATCTTAAAGTGTTTGACACCATCGCTGACTCTGCCTTTTTGGAGTTCTTCTTCCGGTACATTTCCGGGAATCACTAAGTACTCGACTAGAGCGTTGACGCCGGTGTCTGCGTCCACTGTTTTCACAGCTGCCACAGATGTGCCGACTGTTGTCAACTGTAAACACAAAAAAAATGAATTAGTGAGAACCTAGTCGAATGATTAAAATAAAAATAATATTACGAGCTTTATTATACTTGATATTTACCTCGGGAACCGATACTTGGTACGGAGTATCCAAAAACACTGGTGCATTGTCGTTAATGTCGGTCGTGCGGACTATTATGGGTATGGTTCTCTTTTTGTTGGTAGACCTTACCACGCACGTAACCTAAAAGTAAAGATAAAAAAACGGTTTAAAGTGACGAGTTACTACAAAAAAAAAAATATTTAGTGTTATTAAAACGTAGGTAATAAAAAAAAAACTATTAATATAGATCTGAAATTTAGTTACCTGAAATACGATGTGGGACAAGTTTTCTGCGTCTCTGTCCAACGGCTGAGTTAGCTGGATATGTTTTCCGATTAACGTGAACGTTGAATTTCTCGTCGGAAAAAGTAAATCCAAAGATATTTCAGTGTACGGATCTCCTATGATCGGTAATTCGGACGGTTTGATGGGTTGATTTATTTCTGTACACATATAAAACAAAACATCAACAGGTGTGTTTCGTTACAGGTATTTTATACTATTATTGTAACACGTTAAAAGAGATCACGATATCATTATATCGAGTTCATACTTCATAATATATTATCATAAGCGCACAGCATCCTCGGGCGTTTTCTTTATATATAATTGCCAGGATATAATGACGCATAATTATTGTGCATTAACTACGGTTAGTGCGTTCTTAAAAGTCAGTCGTGGAGGCACGCGATCTCTAACACGAAACTGCTGCAGCGTATATTTTCACAAAATAAATAAAAGATATCAGACGGATGACTAGTCGATTGGAGGACATTCGTTACATTAAAAATCTCGTTGATGTTCCAAATTTTTTTTTAAAAATATTTTTCAACTCGTCGCGGTTGTGCATACATTTTTATTCCACGAGAAGTTTTCATTTCCCGTAAAATCCGACTACAATACACAATAATATAATTATTGTGTCCGAACGTTTTCGGGAGCACCGCTGTGAGGAATCACATCTCATTCGTGGGAATCGTTTTAACGGCTCGTCGATTGTACAACAATATAATCGTAGACGTACGAGTGGCGAGAGTGAGGCGGAAGTCATCCGCGCGTACTACAATATAATATCTCTATATCCTCGCCTACCACCCGTTCCGCGTCAATTTCGTTGGGCGAAATATTTTACATACCTTGCTTACTATCGAATGACATTTGGGATTAGACCCATATATATATATACTATGTGTATTATGTATTATTTACAGCGGAATATATAATACTATATAAGAACTCCACAACATCGACATGTCTATTATATTTACTACCTATAGCTGTGAGTACGTGCTGTCGCTGATTGGCTGAGTTAAGTATTATCAGGTCAAATACCGGCACAATAAAAAGCGACCGTAGAACGATGGTCCATTGTAAAGGTGGCACGCTTAACGTTGGCATCGTACATCTCGAGGTGTATAATATAATAATTGCCAATAGCTCGAGGATAACGGTACAATTATTGTTGTGATGAGTAATAATCAGTTTTACGTTTTTGTTGTTGTTGCGAGTTGTGACGTGTGAACGTGTGTGATGGTGACAATTATACAGCGTGACTACGTTGTATATAAAATAAATAGTATATTTTTCGGACAAGTTCGCACGGTCTAGTTTTTTATAAATTAATTTCTAAGTTTAGAAAACGTATAATAATTATCATATGGTACCTATTAAATGTCACCAAAAAGCGAGTAACGAGAGTTTTTTAATATCTCCCCGATCGCAATTATATTATTTGTGAAAACGTTTTAAGTCTAACCATATTACTATTATAGAAGTACCTATATGTGTATATTAAAATTGAAAAATAAGATTATATCAGTAAGTATAAGTTGATCGTGTTGAATGTTTTTAAAAAATATGATGATAATAGTAATTTCTCGTTTTATACTACAGAAGTTCCCTTCCAGCTAGCACGCAAAGACCTTTGTTCGTTGCCTCAAACTATATTTTCAACATGAACCCGTTGGGACATGGGTAACCCGTGTAACCCGAGACAAATCGACACACTTCACGAGGAAATATAAATGGATCCTCTTTTATTGCCTTGACAAATTGGATTTTATTGAAAAAAATATATATACTTACGAGACCCACGACTTTCTTCGATGTCAAGCACAATGTTTCCTTGGCCAGTTTCCATCTCACATAGTCCTAAAATATAATAAAAATGAGTTCGATTCAAAACGTGTCCAATCAATATTATGATTGTTATTGTTCTATAGACTCGAGAATATTAAGGTAGGTACAGTTGTAGTACACCAATCAATTAACTGCACGAATATAATATCATATATCATTAAAAATTATTGTTAAGTAGAGATGTTTTTACTATTTATTTACGGGGAAAACTTAACCGAAGATTATTTTGTAATAAATGTAAAGGACACAAGTTTAAACACAGGAAAGTCCAACGCAGAATTTTAACGTTAAGAGGACGTGATACCAGTATGTGTTGTCTCCGTCTTACAAGTGGGTAACATAGCACATTTTACACTCAACAGAACACATGTAGCTTCGTTAGTTAAAAAATTAGAGTGAATTTACATCTCATAAAATCTTAAGGTAAGATTATTATCTATAGGCAACCTCATGGGCTTTTTATTATATTTTAATTTTAAAGCGAGTTATGAGTATTTTAAAATTTCACATTGTATATGTAGGACGTAGGTACCTACTTTTTAATTTCCTGTTTGGTTTTATTATTTTCATTAACATTAAGGTTTTAAGCATAATTCACGAAATCTTTAATATGTATAGATGATACCTATAAAGTATAAACACTTGTAAAATGTTCACACGAGTTCTACGACCCTTTAGGTACAAAACAACAACAGTATACACAAACCGGTCGTCAATCCTCTGTAAATGTTTTTTATAACATATAATAGTATACCCGCCGTATATAAGATTTTGTGTTTCATATTATATAAAATAAATATTATGTGAAGCGACAATCGATTACACAATCCCACGGATCTAACTAATTAACTCATTTCGATGAAGTATTGGTGTATGGTAATTTTCGAATTAATATATTTTTCAATTGAATAATACGTATAACGTATAAGTAAACAAACTTGTTTAATATTTTTATGGGCATGGAGAAAATTGTTGTCATACTACATACGCGCACATTACATATATTATTATTATATAGTCGTATGGAGATATATATTATTATATTTTATATATGAGGTAGAATTATTACATTATCCGATGACGTCACGTATAATTTCTTTGGGGTCGGATTATAAATGGTTGTTTTTTTTTATTATTCATTTCTTTAGGATTGTATATTTTATACATACCACCGGTAATATCACGGCTGGACACAAATAAAATAAATATTACAATGAAAACAGATCGTTACAACGATAAATAATAATAAAGGTAATAATATGTGTTGTTTAATGTTTATATATTATATACCTACTGCATAATATGTGATTCTATTTTTTTATTTCACAGATGAATTTTCTAGCTTAGGTATATAAGATAATGCGACCACATCGTAACAGCGCGATAAAGTTGCAGATTGTATTATATAGGTAGGTACCTATAGCTATTATTCCTGCACTTGAATGCTATTATATTATAATATACGCGCGACTCTAATCTTTTATAATAAAATTACCTGGTTTGGCATAAACGCCATGCCGGTATCCTTTGTCCAAGATGAGCAGGAACAGTAGCGGGGTCCATGCTGCAGCTATAAACCGTCGCCGATCCATCCTAAAACAAAACGAAAAAATGTTTAATACATTTTAATAGGTATAGGTAACGAAATAATTACGAAAATCACACGCACTGACACACCTCCACACGCACGTGGGGTATTCGCGGTTGCGCGCGTCCGTCATTAGCAAATAAGTTCGAAAAGAAGTATTTTTATGACTTGGTCCGCAGGACCTCCTCATAATCCGACATCTCGAGATTTTTCAACCAGCAATATTATCGCTTTATAATATTATATAGGTACCTACAAATAATTATTATTGTTGTTGCACAATTGTGTAAGTGAGACGAGGTGTTTTTTTCTTGTCGAAAAACCCCTTGAGACTGACGAGTGAAAGTCCATGCAGGAGTTATGCGCGTGTACGATAATAATGGCACGTGACCTTTTTGAGTGGAAGTCGCGTATAGTATATTATTGACGATCATATTTTAGTATGTCATTTTTTTTAATTATTAGATAATGTGAGTTTATATACTGCATTGGTACGTTTATTTTTTTTTTTTTACGATGGAAATATTATACTTGCGACTTAATAAGTAATTAGAAATTGTTTATATAATATATTATGGGATTTGAGAATGTATTCTATACAAAACTAATATATAATATATTATGATAACTGTCAATTCATTTGTAATTAACAATCTGGGATTGTTGTATGTATACTATCTATTCATTCTATTCTACCTGTAGAAATATCTTTAAATTTCCACGCTATTATCCGGTGCACACAAATTGTGTCCCGAAATCCTTTTTCCACATGAATTGCGTCCCGACGATATTTGAACACTACAAGAACTGCGTCCCAACGTTTGTATGTTCTTTTATAATCTATAAATCTTATTAGCATAAAATGGCATCAGTGGTTTTAGGTGGAAAAAATAAAACTTTATTTGATATAGATGGATACAAATTGCGTTACCATAAAACATCGAACAATGATATTCAGCGTTAGAGTTGCTGTAAAAAACGTGTACATCGTACATTCATTCAATTAAATTATAAAAATGTCATTATATAGAACGTGTAATCGACCATAAACATAATAAAGATCCTGCTGAACTATTTAATAGACAACAACTGAGTAATAATTTGAAGCCAAAACCCAAAGGCTGTAGGAAAACTTAACGATAAACCGTCCAAACTTATTCATAGAGCTTTATCAAAATACATTCCGGAAATGATAACTTATGATTTAACTTTAATCCATAATAATATACATCACTCCAGGGCATCTGATATTCCCAAACTGCCAAAAAATTTACCTGATTAACATAATATTTTATTGAAAGAAAATACATAAACTAACCAAGTTATATCGAATACTATATCAAATTAATAGTACAAACATAAACCTATTAGCATCGGGTCGGGACCCTACGGGTAGATATAATACCTACCCATATAAATTTCTCATAACTCTTACATCTTATATAGGTACTGATTTAGCCGCCGTGGCGTACATAACTCAATAAAGTGCACGAACAGTCTAAAGAATCAAAAAGAATAATTTCGGCTTGAAACGCGCTGAATATAATATAATATTTACTGCAAATGCAATAGTGATAACTGATAAATAATGATCGTAATTAGTTATACTATGCAACGAGTGTTTATGCATTCTAAAATCTAAATAAATGGTTAGGTATGGTATGGTTAGGTATGTATAGGTAGGTACACTCGGTAATAACTATAATAATATGGGCACCAATAGTATTTACTATTTAGGTTAGAGTAATGCAGTATACATTTATAATACACACAAGCGTGTGTCTTTTATTATATAATTTACATTGAATACGTAATTCGAACGGGGCAAACATTCAATGAATAGAATATAATAATATACAAATCACTTAAAGTTTTTCAGTAATCGTGACTAAACGATAGCGTAGTAGGTATACGAGTATAACACGGCCATATGATAGTATTGTGTTTATATATTTTTTTTATTAATATTTATTGTCTTTCCGTTCGTATCGGAAAAATACTTTCTCGAATGATTCTATAAAACGCAATGTGCGTCGTACGTATATAGACATTATATTATACTGGGTTTATAACGTCTGGTATACTTTGGTGCGTTATGTGTATTATACAGTATTACACCTATACGCATGCACTGACTACACGAGTACAGGTTGCAAGTGCTAAAAAAGATTGAGATTTTAAGATTTTTCGTTATGAAAACGTTCGGCGCACGAAGGAGCATGCGTGCTATATAATAATAATAATAATAATAATAATATAATATAATATTATTATAATACTCGGAACACGACCGACGCAGATCTAATCCGATCGCTGTACAACATTATTATTACTATTATGATCATTACCCTTATTATTTCGTCGATTATTTCTAATATTATATACATTACACCTGATTCACCTTATTCACTGTATACATGCGACTTCACGACGCGCTAATTATATTGTTTTATTCGACGACTTTTCACCCAACTGTAGTGTGTGCGCGCGTTTACCTAGCAAAACATATATTATAAATATATTATACACCTAACCCTTCTTCCAAGGCCATACATCGGAATCCGATCCAACTCTGCGACCGTGCCCGCGTAGGTACCAATACAATAATAATATATTATTGTTTTTTTATTTTTCGAAAGATATATTATAGGCGTAGAGGTATGTGTACCTATATAATACCAACAACAATATCTGTGGATAGGATTTTTTGGCCCGATACCGACCGAGCGGCGGCACGACGGTCAATCGGTATTCGGGTCAGACATCTCGAGCGTTTAGCAACTTGCCTTGGCCACCGTCACGATTCGACATTCGTATATAGCTATGTAAGTGTACAAGTACAACACACACACACACACACACACAATTTAATATTGTATAGATAACGACTACTGCTGCCTAACGATATACATATGAAAACGAAAAGTGCTCGCGCCGGTCGTGGAGATAACACGAACGTTTTTTATTCCTTCCGAGAGCGCGGCGATTCGGAGTCCACGCAGTCCGACTTTTACTTGGTTTTAACGAGAAATCGCCAAGATCGCATCGACACGCGGACACGCGTAGGTATATAGGTACCTACCTATATAACTCATATTATTTCCACTTGGACCACGTACCTATATACAAACTGAAAGGCCGCGATCGGCGTACGACCGTTATGGCCCGCAAGTTCGATTGAAATCTAAGATATAAGTATAGGTAGGTACGCTATACATCTTGTTTGTTAGGTATCTATACTTAGAGTTATAAAAATAATACTTGAAACTATTATGTATTTCAGTCTTGTTGGCAGCACATGTACCTACACGTGATAATAAATCGTATCAAGTATAAATTATAATATTATACTGAGCGAATAACGTGCAGAGTATAATATCTACCTAAAATTAAAAATAATTCAACAAATAAAAAAATTAATATTTTTCAGACGATTCAGATACGAATAATATCAACGGCCGATCAAAAATGCTGTTTCAACGAATGCATAATAATAATATAGTAGGATTACACTTTACACTTGTATTTTAGATTCCGAGTGGAACGATGAATATATTGATTTTACAATGATGTGTGTTTTTATTTTTATTTTTATTCGTGTCTATGTGTACACGATAAGTAGTCGAAATAATGCTTCGATTTTCAACTTCAGTATCTTGTTCGATTGGAAAGTGAATATCGTTGGTGCATTGGGCAGGTCAAAATTTAAAATTTGCAGTAATTTTCAAAAGCACCAAGTAAAACAAAAGAAAAATTAAGGAAAAACGGGAATTTTTAAGCAAAATCGAATTTGGTTTTTGGTGTCACTTTAAAACAAATGACCGTAGATACATGACATATTCACTGGTTGTTTATATATGCATTTTCTATACACGATAACATTTTCAAAATATTTTGATTTATTTTGAACTGTTTAGGGACATTTTCAGTTTCCAATTTTATTAGTTTTTTTTAATGAATATCAATAACATTTTATTTGTTGAGTAAAAATACTTGAAAATTTAATAGAAAGCTTCTAGTATTTTGTTTCAAAGGCAGATAAAAAAAATTAAAAATCTTTAGTCGCAGTTTTTTTTTATAAGCATTTAAAGTTCAAAAATTGACAAAATATGGAGAAATCACGAAAATTAGCAAATTATTTTGAGTTAAGAATTCGTAAAAATTTTTATTTTTAAATTTAAGATTTTAAAATTGAATACAAGATTCCTTATAAGATTATCTACCTTTATCAAAAAAAAACTGTCTATAAGAAAGTCAAATAAAATTTTTATGAGCGTTTGAAATTCAAATTTTTACAACATTGGATATTCACTCGATTTCTCATATAGCGATTTCCTTATTTTGTTGTAATTCATAAACGAATAACTGTATATGCATGAAAATTTCTCTGAATGTTTATATTAGCATGTGTCCTATACACCATACAATTTTGAAAATATTTTCACTCTTTTTGAGCTGTTTACGGACATTTTCAGTTTTCAATTTTTTTAGTTTTTTTTTCTATAAATATCAATTAAGTTTTATCTGTTGGGCCAAAAAATGTAAAAATTTAATACAAGGCTCCTGATATTATAGTTACAATAGTAGTTGAAAAATATAAAAAAATACATAGGCACAATTTTTTTTTATAATCATTTAAAGATCGAATTTTGACAAAATCTTTCAAATTAAAAATTGAAAAATTATTTTTAAGTTAAAAATGTATAAAATGTTCAACTTTTATATCTAAGGATAGAAAATTAATAAAAAAATTCCACCTAAGTAGTTAATTCTGTTACCAAAAAATCTAAAAATTAAATAAGCACAGTTTATTTTTATAGTCGTTTTAAGTTCAAATTTTAACGAAATTACATAATAAAAAACCTAGAATAACTATTTTAGTTATTTTGTTGTGATTGTATAATATTATTCGTGGGTATTTGAAATTTCTAATAGTACACTATTATATATCTATGATAGTATCGGGGTTTGTTGTTGATGTATAACGCGTTATAAGTACCTAAT